TCGAACTCGAAGAGTTGCGCGCACGCCTTGAATCCCAACATGATGATATTGAAGCCTTAAATGAGTCTTTACAGGTTTCACTAACCCTTAAAGACGAACAATTTGACATCTTCAATCGAGAACAAACCCGTTTAGCAGAGCTTGAGGCTCACTTTAAAGCTTTATCTGATGTTCAAGCTCGCTTCCAAGAAAATCACAAACTAGAAGACTGGCTTGAGGATAAAGGGTTATCGCAACTCCCCTCCATTTGGCCCAAATTAAAATTGGCATCGGGTTGGGAAACAGCTTTTGAAGCGTATTTAAGCGAGCGTCTCGTGGCGCGGGAAATTTCTAACCTTGACTGGGTTGGGCAACTGGTCACGGGTACAATTCCCGAAAAAATGACCTTTGTCCAATTAAACCAAGTAGAAAAACAAAAACCCACCCTCACCATCGAAGGGTTAACGCCAGCTACTGACAAAATTACTAGCACCGATGATGGTGTCAGCGCACTCTTGAGCGCGTGGTTTTCAGGTGTCTATTGTTGCGACGATTTGCCTAGTGCATTAAAGCACCGTTCTTTGCTTTGCGACCATCAAACCCTCTTAACGCCAAGTGGTCATGTGGTGACCAAACATGATGCTCGTCTTTATGCGGCCAACGCTGAAGCATCCGGCTGGGTTGCACGCGCAGCCGAAATTGAACAGTTGCAAAAACGCATTCGTGCCCAACAAATTGTCATTGAGTCAAGCAAGAGCCAGTACCAAGATGCTCAATATGCTTATCTGCAACAACAAAATCAACAACAACACCTCAACGAACAAGTTAAAATTGATGCACAAAAAGTGCATGAACAGCAGCTTCTGGTGATGAAACTACGTCAAGAAATGGCGCAATTTGAAGCACAACAAAGCCAGCTCTTAGGAGATGAAGCTGAGTTAAAAGAACAACAAAAAAAATTAACTCAGCAACAAGAAGAACTCGAAGAACGTTTTGAGCAGGCTGACTTACAATTGGCCAGTAGCCAAGAAACACTCGAAGAACTCATTTTGCAACAAGAAGCCGCTCTAAATGACTTAAATGATGTTAAGCACAAGACGCAGCAAATCCATCATCAACGCCAAGAAGTACAATTTCAATTGCGTCAGCATCGCCTGATGATCGAGAGGTTTGATGAACAAATTCATAGTGCTACGGAGCAGATTGATCGTTGCCAAGAGCAACTGGAGAGCTTACGCAGCGAGTTAGAATCGATGCAAATCACTCAACATAACGAGGAGCTAGATGCTGCCGTGGCACAGCGTGAAATGGCCGAACAAATACTAACACAGACTCGCTTAGCCATGGAAGAAAAAGCACAGCAGTTACGTGCGCAAGAAGAGTCCCGTTATGCCGCTGATCGTGAACGCGAACCCATTTTAGAACGGCTGGCAAACTTGCAAGTGAAAGAACAAGCTGCAAAAAGTTTAATTGATCAATTTAATGAGCAGCTTGCGCAAATAACCTTTGATGCGGCTGCGGTGCGCACGGACATGCCAAGCACACTCAAGACCACGGAGTTACGCGCCGATATTTTGCGTATCAACCAAGAGATTCTCGCATTGGGCGATGTGAATTTGGCTGCTCTAGCTGAACTGGAAGAAGCACAAAAACGCCAAGAATTTTTAACGTCACAATCAGACGATTTAAACCAAGCAGTCAATGCGTTACAAGACGCCATTCGTAAAATTGACGAAGAAACTCGCATTTTATTATCCGAAACCTTTAATAAAATTAATCAATCTTTTGGTATTTTATTTCCCACCTTGTTTGGTGGAGGTCAGGCTCAGTTGGTCATGACAGGCGATGAAATTCTTGATACTGGCGTTCAGGTCATTGCTCAACCCCCTGGCAAGAAAAACTCTACCATTCATCTGCTATCTGGCGGTGAAAAAGCTTTAACGGCCATTGCCTTAGTTTTTGCTTTCTTCCAGCTCAATCCTGCGCCCTTTTGTTTGTTAGATGAGGTCGATGCACCGTTAGATGATGCCAATACCGAACGATATGCTAACTTGGTCAAAAAATGTCAGAAAAGACTCAATTTGTCTTTATTTCTCATAACAAAATTGCTATGGAAATGGCTCAGCAACTCATTGGTGTGACGATGCAAGAAAAAGGCGTTTCACGTGTGGTTGCCGTTGATTTAGAAAGTGCGCATCAATATGTTGCGGCATAAGAAACCTCCCCCCCCCACTCACTGGCTCATTTTAGGAGTAATCTAATTGACTGAATTACTATTTGGCGTACTGGTTTTAGGGGCCATCGTACTTTTCGGCATTGCCTTTTATAATGCTTGGCAACTCAAAAAA